CGGTCATACAGGTTACATATCATTTGATGCATTCTTGAACTTTATGACACGAGATAATGTTGACGAGGCAACTGAAGAACAACTTATTCAATCATTTAAAACACTTGGAGGTGATAAAGTAAGCTTAGTCTCCACAGAGTATATTACATAGTTCTGTTTTTATAGTCATTATTCTACTGTAAATGGCATAATTTACAATTCATTCAGAAGTATCTAGGATATCGTCATAAGATGCTTTTGTTTAGAAGATGTACAAGTAGTTATGTCTGCAGTTTGCATAATTTTATCAAGAGTACAGAATTCAATGTACATCGGAACCCTTTTGATTTCAGTATACAGTAAGTTGTATGATCTTCGGCTAAAGCAGTGATTTAGATAGACTGAACAATTTAATAAAATTAGATTGGTGGTTAAATATAGAGACGTGAAGAATTGATTTTCTTTCATGCACATAGTTCCCCTCATCATTTTGAAAAGAGCAAGAACAACAATTCTAGGAAAATACCATGAATTCATTTTATTTCGTTGGTTCTCGTCAGCTGCTTACAACCTGTGATATTTAATGTCAGATATCACAGGTTGTAAGCTATTCTGCCAGAAGTTTTGCTTTTGCTCTTTTGAGAATTGATTTTCTGATATAATCAGCCTATGTTGGTCATCACTGTTTTATTAAAGACAATCCTATACTTCTGGAAGACTTGCACTTTTGAACTCTGTATGGAAAACATGTTTTGTTACATACATAAAATTCAATCCTATGTTTTGCCCATATTCAACTTGTATAGTACTATTGTCTTTCGGCACCATGTTTTTGTTGACAGTCATACGAAATTCTCTTTTTTCGCCGACGATATAAAATGTATAATGCATCCCATCCACAGCATAATGTGAGTAATTTATTTATTCTTCGAATCATCCAAGCCATAGTTTGAATAATTCGGTTGGTAGCGTTGTCAGTAGTAAAGGATTTTAGCTTTTTAGCTTCTTACAGTCTAAAATGAATTGTTTTATAAATCAGTTTTCAAGAACCTAGTGAATACAGTAGATATTTATCCATCACGATATGAAGATCAGTGTTCGATCACTTTATCAGTTGTTAGTTTGAATTGTATTCTTTTCGCCAAGAGTTAAATTGTTTTAAAAATCTCTCGTCTATATTGTTTTAGGGATATATCACTGCTCAGGATATCAAAGAACGTCTTTCTGCTAGTGATGCGGAATATTGTTTACAGAATATGCCTGTATTAAATGGACCAACGGGAGATTCTGGTGCATTAGACTTTGAATCTTTTGCCTACAGTATATGTGGCCGTAAACCAACATCATGATGATATAATTGTGTTTAAAAGTTTTGTGCTTCATTGTTTGTTAGTTTGTATAACATCATTCCATTTTGTATTCGTTTGTTTAATTATTAGTATTTTTATTTACATAATGTTAAGTTTTTACTTTGTATCATTCGTACCGACGAAAATGGCAGTTTGCTATTTTTTTTCGTGTTTTTTTCTCTAGAAAAAAATAATTTTGTGGGACAACACAGTATTATTGTTCTTCGGTATTTTTTCCGTCCATCTTATTCCCCAATTTTTAATATAACTAAATTTCCCAAGATATCTATTCTTGTATTTATCAAATATATACGGATGTATGATTCTTCTTTATAAGCTGATAATGCTTGGTTAGTTTGAGATAAAAGAACATCATTTGAAATGGTCCCTATATCAACTGATCATTGTTATCTATAGTGGGTGATTTCGTTTCTTCCTGTCTCAGTGTAACACGTTTAGATTCTGTTGCTTCATAATTGAAAAAATTGTTTTTTTTTAACCACTCATCGTTTTTTTTACAACAGGTTGTTTACCATTTTGATTCATTTCAACCTATTACTCAATAATTCCACCATTTTAGTTGGTCATATACACACACACACGTGTTAATGTGTTGTTTTTCTCCACAGCAATAACGTAGTAGTATGAGAGGGAATATTTAAATTTTAATCTATAAGAGAAGCTTGTATTAACTGACAGTATTATAATTAATTTATTATTTCTTGTTTGAGTTCCCCAAATTAAAACAAAATACCCTTATGTGTCTGTTATTTATACATTAAATTAAATTTCATTTTTTTCGATAAAATACAAACTTGAGTGTTTACATTTTTTTGTTCACACATTACTTATCTGGATTTTTTTTCTACTAACATTTTAATATTGTCAGTTTCCACTCTTTATTTTTTCCCTCTTTATATACCTCTTATTTCATACAGTTGGAAATGTATAATCTTCCAAGTAAATTTTTTTTAATGTTTAAACTCACGTTCTACGTACCAAGATATCCTTGTACACTCCTCTGATATCCAAGTCTTCGTTAGTCTTCTTGTTTGTGATTTATCTGTGTGTGTGTGTGGGTTTTTTTTCTTTCAAATTTGGTTATTGTTGCATCAATTTTCGTAATAAAATGAAATAAATTTTAATAAATTCTTTTAACCAACAAATATTTTTTGTTTGTTTCATTTTTTTTATAACACGATTTTTGTTGGTATGACTAAGGAATGAATGTATAAGTATGATCGTTAGTTGTTGATGTGTGATATATGTGAATTAGTAGATTTATATGGATCTGCCTATATGTGATGTTCAACACACACACATATAATTGAAAGTTAATTTGTATAATAAAATCATGTTTATGCTAGTTTGTTTGATGTACGTTCTGCTTAACTATGAAAGTACAGAGTGTGATAAATTAATGGTTTAATTTCAATAGATACGTTTGCATAATGAACAGTGAAATAGGTTATAACATCTGGTCTTAAATTAGATGAATACTAATGATATTGAGAGAACTTTTTACAGCTTTATATGCATATCAGATCATCGATTAATACACAATTTTGTCTTATGACTAACTTGATATCTTTACTTCACACTTAGTCAATTTTCTGCAGCCTAGTTACAAGGTAACTGTTTAATTATAGTGTTCGATAAAGAAGCATACATGTATTCTAAATAAATCAAGTCACTACTAATCGATCTATTCAGACTTCAATTTTACTAGCCTGACTCTTCTAACTTTTGTTGCATAGACGCATGTTAAGTTGAAGTGCTCATATTTTTTTGTTTATTCATTCTGATACGTGTTACGTAAATAAAAAGTCATATTTATTGGTTCTTATATGGTGGTACATCTAGCTTCCCAACTCCATCTTACTCAACTATTGAGTTCGTACCTATCTGTAGAATGTTAAGTGATCTAAATGCTTTTACATTAATACTTATTCTTACATGATTTTTCGATTTACTAAATTTCATCAGTCTACATTATATTGTAAAGCTTAGATGGTTAATTACTTGACACTTCGTACTGACGTTTGCATCTATAGGTTTGTTTAATTAGTTTGTCGCTTAATATTATTATTGTAAGGGGTTGTAGATATTGTTAGATTACATTGAAATCACAAGCCAACCTAGGTTAGGCAACCATCAAAAACCTGGAATTACCGGATGAGCGTTTCGCCCCAGTACAGGACTCTTCGGGAGTGTGCATCCGCGACCTCGTAACCAAGAGTCAAATCCAAGACCTTTAGTTTTATATAAGAATTCCTGTTTTTTTATTCTCTATGATTAATATTAAACTAGTTGTGTGGTATCTATTAGTAAACTTTGTTCAACTTATAGGTCTCAAAAACAAAATGAATGCACTCATTGAATGGTGTGTAATCAATTTACTAAATTAAGCACCATAACTATCTTACAATTAGTTTTTTCTGTAGAGTTATTAAGTATCAGTCTTGCGTTTTGATTAGATTAATTGGTCTTGAGCTATATACACGTATTACGAATTGTACTGATCGATTTTTTTTCGGCTTATAATTTTAAAAAATTTCAATGGTTAAGATCATGAGTCAGTTGTAGCTAGACCACCATGGAAAACCTCGAAGCGCTGGACGGCCGTTTCGTCCCATTGTGGGACTCCTCAGCAGTGCGCACCCACGACCTCGCCTCCTGCGAGCAGTTAACCGTTAAACCATTGAGTCGGCATCCAACGGTGTTAATGTCTAACTTCAGCTAATCCACGAAATTGAGCGACGCATCCACCGTTGTCTTCACTGAGTTACTGTCTCACAACAGACCTAGTTGAACTCCACTGGTCACTACTTCCCACTAGAACTTCAGGATATACCTCGTGAAGCCAGTCACTAGTGAGCATATGTTGATTAATATCAGATGGGTTTTGTGGACATTATAGTAAGTTCAATGGTTAAGATCATGAGTCAGTTGAAGCTAGGTTTCCCAAGGTGGTCTAGCTTCAACTGACTCATAATGTCCACAAAACCCATCTGAGACCTAAAAAATTTGTTTGATAAATTATTTTTTAATGTAACAAATATACATCGTTAATTAGCATTGTGATTGTATACCTCAATAACTGACCAGCTGATTGTTCTTCAATTATATCTTTTAGCTTCAATGTATGAGTTGTATTTTATTGAGTTTCATTCTTTTCCCTTGAATAAAAACTTCAGCTTTAATGGTTATATATATATATATATTGACTTAACATGAAACATATGAAAACAGTACTTGGATCATTTTTTAAATTCCGATTTTGAACTTTAAGGAAGTTGTTATACAACTTTCGAAAAGTCGAACTTTCATGCTGAGTTGTTATATTCATTTCTGAACGTAGCACGTCAAATTGTATTTGATGTTGATGAAATGGTTGATAATTGACTAAACTATCTACTTACGGTGTCACGGAATAAATTAATAACACTCCATTTTTTCGTTGATTTTCTGTTATCTGAAGAAATAATTATGTATAAACCATTCCAGTAATCGAGTGTAATTACTATAGTGAATCCTTGAAAAGCAACATTACCAATCGTTTATGTCTCATTTGTAAGTAACTAGTCTAAACTCTCGATCTGATTATTTAAAATCGTACACATATTCCAGTAAGTCAATTCAGTGAGTTGAACACATTACTTTCATTTGATTATTTGTAGTTAGTCAGAAACAAAAGTGTTACTCTGTTTGGTGAATTGATTTTGACATCAGATTGAAGTTGTTCGAGTTCAAGGTCATCCCAACATTTAATTCAACTCACTTCTATACGAAGTTCGATATTTCTTTCAGCCCAACCGCCTGTGTTTATGTGATAAAACAATCAACCAATCGAAGTAAATGTTTTTTTTATGTTTCTATTTATCAAGTTTCATTGTAACCATTGTTTCGATTTATAGTTTTGGTGTGCGGTAAATGTGATGTAATACGTTAGTTAAGGGATCAGATAAAATTGATCTAAAATTCATTTAAGCAGATCTCAAAACGTTTTCATTTTTATCTGTCCATGTATAGAACAAAAGATGCAAATGCTCTAGATATATCAAAAAAATGTTTAGTTAATTTCATTTTAAAAAGGGAATCTTTGAGCATGTGCCTAATATTCTTACCAACAATTGATGCTTGTATATGTATAGACAAAGCGAACTAAACTATTCATGATCACTCATCAGTCCATCAATTTTATGGATACGATCATTGAGTTAGATTTTTATATTTTAAATGATCTTAAAGGAGTGATCAACTTCGAACTAGTAATTTTTAACATGCTAATCAAGTTTTCTGTACATTAAGTTGCAAGATACATTTGTTGATTATATCTGCCTTCCTTAGTAAATACCGTGTGTTGTTCAGTGGTTACATTGTGGTTTCTGAAGTTGATGCTTTTTTGTCAGTGTTTTTCTCATTATGAACCTTTTAGACAGTCCACTTAATAATCAAGCATTTTCTTTAGCGAATATTGAATTATTTGAATCGAAATTGAAATTTCCTCCCAGTTAGATTATCATATCATTAAACATTTCCAAAGTAATCTCCGCCTAAATCATGTGATATTTGGGTGTGACACTAAAAAATTTGAAACCTGATTTATCGTCAGTACGTTTAATCCAATTTCCAAAAAGCTATATATTCTCATCCGATTACATAGTAATTTTTAGTTCAATATCACTAATCAATTCTGTATATACACCCTAGCAGCTATTTAGCCAAGTTTATCTTAAGAAGTTTAACTAATAACTGTTATTGTATGTAAGGCGGTAATGTTGAGAGTACATGCACTTTAAAACTTATTTTTAAATTTTTAAAGATCGGTTAGAAATACTCTTCTTTATAACAAAAGTGCTAATATGTAGAAAATATTTTTAATAAGAACCATTCAGAAGTTTCTATTTTTAAAATGTACTTTCATCTTTAAGTCAATATTTACATTACCGCTCTGTTGAAAGATTCTTTGTAGAGATAAAGATGTTTTAGTAATTTTTATTACGGATGTATGTACTTATTCTTTGCGTTTTGACATGACATATGCTACTGACTGACACAAGTTGTAAACTATTTATTTACATCGGTAGATTAGCAAAATGTTTATACTCATACCAAAGAGAATAAACACTCCATGATGTTTTTCATTTAATATTTGGTAGTCTGAAGTTGTCAGTAGGTGACCAAAGTCTTAGATTTCGTACTAGTTTGCACCCATCAGTGGTGGGTAGCGAAAGCAAGAGAGATGGAAAAGGCAGCGGCAATAGGTAATAGCAGACAATTGTTCAGACTCGTTAAGGAAACCGGAATTAGGAATCCGACCGTTAGCGAAACACTCTCAGAGAAAGATGGACATATTATACATTCTCAATCCAGGAGATTGAATTGATGGGCAGAACACTTTAGGGATCAGTTCAATTGGCCTTCAGCCACACTTCGGTTTCCCACGATCTCCAGTCAACCTGAATGGCAAGTTAGTGTAGGTCCTCCAACTCTTTACGAAGTTGAAAAAGCCATAGGAAATTGTTAGCGGGACATAGACTAGATTAAAGCATGCTCAATGCATGATTGCTTTGGTGCACGCTGATTGGCTGATTCTTATCCAATCAGCACTAGTCGATAGTCGGAGAATACTCTGGAATCTTCTTATGTGAAAACTATAAATATACCGACGTTTTCCCTATTGTGATTCTGAGTTGAGGTCTTGTCGAGTGAATCGCTGTCCGAGAATACTAAGCAATAGGAATAGCTGAGTCATTAACCGTAAGAAGAAAGAGATTTATAACAGAAATCTGAAGCGAGGGAGAGCAGCAGGCCCTGACAGGTTAACCCCTGAGATTTTTAAGGATGGTGGTTCAGTATTAGCAGTGAGGTTAACTGAGGTTTTAGGTAGAATTCGGGAACTGGACGTAATCCCATCTGACTGGTCTCAATCACTGATTGTGCCAGTCTATAAGAAAGGACAAAAGTCCTCTTGTGACAATCACAGAGGAATCAGTTTGACAAATATAGTGTCTAAAATATTAGCTTCAATGATACTTCGACGCCTAACTAAAGCTCATGAATTGCAGACTAGAGAAAATCAGGCTGGTTTTCGACCTGGACGTGGTTGTATAGATCAGATATTGACACTACGTCAGGTTCTAGAACACAGACACACATTCAGACGCTCCACAATGGTAGTATTTCTCTACCTTAAAGGAGGCATTCGACTCTGTTGATCGTGAGGTTGTATGGCAGTGTTTGTCACTGAAAGGAGTACCAAAGAAGTACATTAACCTTATAAAAGCTCTCTACTCGAACACAACTGGTCGAGTGAGAGCTTATGGCGAATTGTCATCAGAATTGATTACCTGAAGTGGTGTTCGTCAGGGCTGTCCACTCTCTCCATTCTTGTTCAAATTTGTCGTTGACGTGCTTTTAGAGATGACACTTTCCTCATCTGAATTTCCAAGAGTTGAACTTTTACCAGGAGATTTACTTTTTGAATTAGAATATGCCGATGACATAGTCCTATTTAATGAAGATGCTGACAAAATGCAGAGTCTTCTGACCACTGTAAGCAACAATGCAAGCATGTTCGGGATGCGATTCTCCCCTTCGAAATGCAAAATGTTGCTTGAGGATTGGGTTGCATCGACACCTGAACTAATGATAGGGAGTGAAGTAGTTGAGCGTGTCGATCGCTTCACTTATCTTGGGAGTCTCATCAGCCCTTGTGGTCTGTTGTGTGACGAAATCTCAGCACGGATACAGAATGCTCGACTAGCTTTTGCCAACTTGCGTCATTTATGGCGTAGGCGAGATACCCGTCTATCAACCAAAGGACGTGTTTATCGTGCAGCAGTCCGTTCCATCCTACTTCATGGCAGTGAAACATGGCCGGTAAGAGTAGAGGATATTCGTAGGTTAGTAGTATTTGATCATAGATGTCTTGGAAATATTGCTCGTATATCCTGGGACCATCGAGTAAGTAACTCAGTTGTTAGGAAACGGGTACTAGGTAAGGATGGCAAATCAATTGATGAAGTAGTGAAACTTCATCAGTTGAGATGGTTGGGACATGTGTTACGTATGCCCAACCACCGACTGCCTCGATGTGCAATGTTTTGTTGTATAGGAGTAGATTGGAAGAAAGCTAGGGGTAGCCAGACCAAGACATGGCACAAATCCATGAAGTCACTGACAAGTGAACTGAGCCATGTTGTTAGGTGTAGACTACCTGGTTGGGATCTGCGAGACGGTGGTGACCGATGGTTAGAGACCTTGAATGACATGGCTCAAAGTCGTTTGCAATGGTGTAGGTGCATCCACTCTTTGTGTTCTTCCAAATTCTAATCTCCTGAATCCTCGTCTTTTTTTTCTTTCCAAATTTATTTCAGTGTATTATACTCCTTGAATAACATCATCAAACCCTAATCTTTCCGATTACTGCTTATACTCTTACCGCCTCTACCACTATGATATTTGAATCGATAACTGCATCTCTGTGCTAATGTGGTATGGCAACTCGAGTTGATTTACGTACGTACGAAGTTCCACGTTGTTACAGACTGACACACTGACTATCAGTAGGGACGGTACCTACAGTTGTTCCCTTGTGAATTTCGAATCCGGGTCAACCGGTCTCACAGTCAAACGTTACCACTGAGTTTTCCTGCCGTGATCGATCTCATATAGGACTCGGATATTCATCCTGTAATTGGCCCCCCTGGGTAGTGACATGTTTGGAACTAGCTACCAGTCATTGATTGTTCAACGTTTTCCTCATATTCATCACAGAACTTAGTGATATTTCGTTAGATTCTGAATCACTGGTGCTTGAATCTAAACAGCTCATGACGAAATATCTAAACGGACTAAGCAAGTTCTTAGTGTTTAATGCTATCAGTAAATCTTTGCATATTTTATTGGCATATCTCATTACTGAATAGTGTGTAAGTTGTTCATATACTTATTTTATTCAGTATTATTATTAGTGATACAATGTTTTTCTTTCAAATCACCAGTTCTGACACGTGGTGAATTAGTAGATAAGTCTCAACTTTCAGTTACCAAGTCCTGGGCTCGAACCCGCGGCTCCATCTATTTCTATTTGGGTAACTGGTTAGTATCATTAGCTCCCACAACCAAGGTGTAGCTCATGCCTGTGTATCTGCTTAATGATTTATTCTCAGTAAAAAATTGCGCATTAACAGAAGTAAAATATGATTACATGCAGATACTGCATAATAATATTTGACCTCATCAGTGTGAAATGAAGCATCAGTATTATATCAGGCTAACAACTATTTTTTTCATCCACCTTAATTGTGCATTCATTGATCATTGTTATTATCCTCTCTTCTTGAGACTTTGATCAATTATGACCACTTATGTTCATAAGCTTTTTATGTTTGGTATGAATATTTAAATTTTAAAAATAAATTTCTCCATTCTTCAGCTTGATATAACGAGTGAGAATTGAACTGAGTAGTCTGAACTTGATTCACTTGATGATGAGCTACCTACAAAATTGATATTGAAAAAGTTTATAATTTTTAATTGTTATTTTTCTGTTAAGTTCTATATAATCCTGTTATTAATTTAATAAGAAAATACCTTTTATTCTTGTTTGTGGTCTTGTCTTTGACTGCTACGGTCTGGGGATCCGGGTAGTATCACAGTCTGCACTCAAATCAAGTTACTTATGTGGCGCATATGTATTCGGTCCCCGTTTTTACCAGCATTTATGCGTTCAAATAAATAAGTAAAAATAACTTTAAGCTATTCCAGATCTTAAGTCACTTTTTCGATCTCATGAGCGGCCTTTGCTTAGCCTCTTTTATTTTAACGATAGAAATTGTATTATCAAACAACAAAACCACTACTCCATCGCGCAACTCCATATGATTTCAATGACTAGTTTTCTGCTGATAAATATAAATCGGTCGCTTCTCAAAAGTTTTCTTTAGATTTTTTTTGGTGTACCCGTCTGTGCTTTGCTTTCGACTGATTTCCTTGTAAATATAGTTCCTTTTTTTGTATGTCATGTTTTGATCAATATTTACTTTTATGCTAACGAAAATACAGTTGATGTTCGGAAAATTCAACTGCACTGCTTACTTTATTTCATATGATAACAGTACCTAATTTGTGTACTAGAAACATTAGTCGAGGTGTTTTGCCTTTTGATTAGATCGAGAAACTTGTAATTTGTCCTGACTGCAAATAATGATTTCCAAAATTTCATGCGATGTAAAAACAATGTTAATTCCTAAATTAGCTTTTACGTTTAATAGGAAATTATAGATTTTGTTTAGTGACTGAATTTCATACAATCTACGAATCGTGCAGTTTATAGTGTATCTGAAAGTGGCTTCATTAGTTATAGGCTAGTAGAAGCTTCAGTGTGTATGCTACTTCGATTGACTACAGGACAGTTTCCTTCCTTAAAAACATCGGAGTATTCAGTTTGTCAATAAATTTTTAAGTGGTTTAAGACAATTAAACGCAAATTTTGTTCTTAGGTTTCGTGTTGATTAGAACTCTTTAGCCAGACATATCATTATTCTTCTGGAACATGGTGCTCCTGGTGCTATTCAAACCATTTATACAATATCGGAGTCAAATTCTGACCAAACGTTTCAGTACGCTACTGACTGGTGAAAATTTGATATTTACACTAACTTATCAAAACTCTTAGGGGATCATCAGTTTCTTCAAGTTGATAATAAGCTTAATTAATGATCGCCAACTACTACAAATCTACCAATTTCCTCTGGAAACTCAAAGTCGAAATATTTGAACCTGTGTTCTTGATGATGTTCTCTTCTATGTGTCCGATCGTCGTCATCTTCGAAGAATTGCTAACATTCAGTGGTGACACTATGTTAGTATCGCGGAGGTTTTATAACGTGTATTTGAGTACAGTGACTATAATTCAGATGCCGTTATCATCTTGAAATACCAACTTCAGTGGCTTGGACACGTCTTACGAACTTCGTCCCAGCAAATTCTACATCGTTCATTATTTTTTGCTCTGAGACTTGTTCGAAAAACCAGAGGTGGTCAGTGTATAGCATAATACCGTGATATGAAAGAAAACAGCACAGGACTCATCTGCCGGTCCTTCATAACTTCCTGTTCCGTGTTCCTAGGTATAATGCAGCACAGTGATTCGAAACGTTTTTAGACATAGCTGAGAACTGAAGCCAGTGACGGTCCTGCTGTAATTTCCTCTTATTTACTTCATTTAAGTAAGAGCGGATTCTCTTATTGGAAGGATGCTTTCTGGTTGTATTTTTCTAACTGAACTTCTCCCTTTACTATTGTTATCATTATTATTATATTATCATGTACTAATTTCTTTTCGGCTTTGTTCTTCTTTACATTCGCCTTCCTTTCTTATTGTGTGGTACACAAATTTTGGGGTCTCCGTGCTAATATTTATTTGTTTAAATAAATAAAAACTTCTTTGACTTGATTCCATTGAATCGTTTTCTGATTACGCAACTACAACAAACTAATCCTTCTGAGATAAAAATCTGTTCCACCACCTCAAGATTAGTGTTCACTATACAATTTGATAGACAGAACTGTATTAGGATCAAGTAATTATTATGTTATAACATTTACTCACGACCCATTGTTGGAATAGTTTACTGATAAATTTCTCATAAATCTTCAGTTCTAACCTTCGTGTTGATGACTGCTTAGATTAAGAGCGATTGTTTTGCTAACTGTTCAGATCTGATGGCAATCTCTTTTTGTAGCATTGCGTATACTGGGTCGCTTGAATCCTGTTGATGTTTTAAAATATTATTTAATTTACGCATACACTGGTACAGCTGGGAATTGAGATAATTTATGACACATCCTCAATTTCATGAATTATTTGCCTACGCTGAGACTTGGTGGGAAAAGCGGAGAATCATGGTCGGTTCATGAAATGGCGCCGTAGCACGTAAGGAAGCCGTATGGGACTTGAATCCATTAGTCCATCACGACTCCCCTGTCGGAATTCGAGAGATTGCGCAAAGCAGTGCCTTGTCATATAGTCATCATCAACTTAGAGCCTGGTTCAAACCTACGTTGCTCAAGCTGCTGTACCATATGAACACGACGGAATAAAATTAAGAAAACATGTAGCGTAACAGACCAGAATAGCCTGGTGACAATGAAAATTAGAAAGAATAACGTTTGGGAACAGGGCTCGGAAAGACAAAGTAAAAGGATTTTTGTAGGAATACTAGTTTTCAAGTTTGATAAGCGAACAAAGAGTGAATGTTCCTAACCATTATGAGTAATGTCACCTAGTTTGCAGCTGAAAATCAGTGGTTTGAGACGTTGAACTATACAAACACTAACAAAATGACGCTCTAACTCCATAATGTAAGTTCTATTGTTTGTTTCTTCTATCTTCATAGGTATATGCTTATGATGGATGATGATTTTTATAATGATTCAATTGGAGATCAAATTCTTTTGGAATTAAATATCACTAACTTTACACCAACGTTAACTGACAAAAACAAGCAAACTACGACATCAACTAAAGATGAAATTAATGGTTTAAATGATAACTCACATTCATTAATAACCATACCACATCAATTTTTCGATTTCCCATATCCGAAACCGTATTCACAACAACTTGAATTGATGCAAACAGTCTATAAGACATTAGAATCTAACTGTTGTGGTATATTTGAAAGTCCAACTGGTACTGGCAAATCATTGAGTCTATTGACAGCAACATTACGTTGGCTTTTAGATTATAACGAAAAACAGGTTTTATTATTAAATAGTCTTCAATCTCAGTTAAAATTAACGAATCATGAAAATAAAGAGAATAATTCTAAGGAATACGATTGGATAGTAGAATATGATAAAAATCGTTTATTAAAAAAACAAATTGAACCACAAATTGAAGATCTTTTGATCTATCAATCTAATTTACAATTAATTGAGAAAATGAAATCATCTTCCTCATCATTACTGTTTAAACATCAAACTGACTTTTTAAATGTTGATGAAATGACCATAACTGAAGCGAATATTGAAAGTATTGATATTGAGCAATTGAAAAATATAATAGACAATACCCATGATCAGTATGACTGCGATGATGAATTATTTTTATGTAAACCTGATGAAAACTTATTCGATAAAAATAAAATTATCGAATTAGATGAAATTGAACTGGAACAACAGTTTGAAAGTCAAGAACAACAAAAATCTGATAATGGATTATTACATGTAATTTATTGTAGTCGTACTCATTCACAACTCGGACAAATAGCCAAAGAATTTGCAAAATGTAAAACATTATTTAATAAAGTCACAATAATTCAATTATCATCAAGAAATTTGTTATGCACTAATGAAACCATTTATCAGTTAAAACACCCAGATTTAATTAATATTGCTTGTCTTGAATTGAATCGACCGCGTAATCGTGAGCAAGGTCAATCGAAAGGTTTCAGATGTCCAATGCGTAACTCAACAGCTGTTAATAATTTATCCAAGCACCTATTAATTGGTAATTCAGCTTTAAATATAACCAATAGTATTAGAGATAGAAAGTCAAGTAAGTCATCTAAATCGATCAATGTTTTGAGTAATTCTTTGAAAAAATACCAAAAAGACGAGATGACAGTAAACGATATCCAATTGTCGTCTCATATTGGGTGTCCGTACTACGCTAATCGTAAGGGATTACCATTAGCTCAATTAGTTTTAGTACCATATTCATCATTGTTACAACCATCAAATCGTTTGACATCTGGTTTAAAACTAAAAAATTCAATTGTTATAATTGATGAAGCGCATAATTTGTTAGAAGCAACAGCGTCATCAATGTCAGTCAGTTTGTCGTTGGTGAATGATTTATACAAATTAGAAGAGTTATTTTCTGGTTATTTACAATATTATCGTTCACGTTTATCTTCATTTCTTACATTAAGACTACGTCAAATGAGACATTTTATACAACAATTAAAACTTTATTTAAATACTACACTTAAAAATATTCAATTATCATTATCTTCCATATCGGCTAATGTTATCATTAAAACAGTGAATAAGTTATTTTCGGAATCGAACTTGGACAACATAAATTTAAGTGAGTTTATCGATTGTTTGGAATATCAACACTTTATCATGAAATTAATTGGTTTCTCTAAATGGTCTAATAATATACAAGAAACGCCGAAACATTTAGAAAATGTTGCAATTAGCCAAACAGCTTGTTCACAAATGACAAATTTATTAAACACTATGAAAAGAAAATATTCTGATGAGAATAACCAATGTGGAGATACAAGTCAGGTAAGTTAAAACATGGTTGCTTAATTCGAGTAGTTAAAGTTACAATCTTTCTCATAGTTTAATAGGTTTCTATGTTTACAAGAGAAAACTCATTTGTAAAATCTGTTCTAGATCTTCACGAGTTAACTCAATATTTTTCACCTGAATAGTTCAGTTTTGCTAACTAGCTATAATATTAGGAAATCGTCTATTGGAATGTCTCCACTCAAAGTTTCTGTTATGAGTTTTAATCAAAACCTCCTTCCTATAGGCATAGTTAGTGTTGGAATTAGCAACCTTCTTCATTTTGGACGGACAAATGCTATCTGAATGCTTCATTTCGAGTTTAAATCGGAGCCAAGCACATGAATCTGTACCTCAGTAAATGATTCATGTTGTTATTTGATAAATTGTCAGTAATATTGGTTGGTTACTGATTAGTGAGCAATATCATGTTTGCCGGATGCGTTAAAACTAACCGAATTCCATCAATCAAGTCCCGTTATGACCGCTGGTCTGAGTACCTGTATATTTCGTGGGATATTTTGAGAAGGCTTCAATTCTCTTGATATATGCCGACTTGTGTGAAACGTAGGTCCAGAGTACCCTACTGACTAACTCCAGCTACCGAAGATTGGATCACCGGTAATATCTGATATAATGAAACATGAGATTCATCTAGGATGTAAGCATATGTGGATAAACAGAATTTTTACCATGTATTGAGACTATCAGAAAGATACAAGATGCTTTTGAAGGTATTTCTTGAATTTCACTTTCAAGTTTTCGATCCAATTTCAGGTTTGTATTTCGAATAAAAAATCTAAAATAGATATTGAAAAGTCTGAAGGAATTGGCTCCAGTTTATTTAAATTTCATAGCTTTCTTAAAGCTTTAGAATTTTGTGAAGAAGATGGACGTATAATTATTGAACCTGTTAAGAACTCAACAAAATTAAATCTATCAATCTCCTCATCTGATATGTTGTCTTCGTCAAGTAATCTTACAGATGATACTCAAGATTTGTGTTTACGTGTGGTATTTTTAAATCCTGGAAGGTATTTAAAAGGTTAGAAACTTTATTGAATTTTATTCTATGTGTTAACATGAATCTTTGTTTGTCTTAAATCCAATCAATATGTTGGGGGTTGCATTAGTTCTCAAAAATTTCACTAGAATCAGCCAAAATATGGATTTTTCAATAAGCGCTATTTTGAATCTTCAGTTGTGGTTTTTAATGTTCAGCTAAGTTTACAATACATCTGGTTGATCACCGTCCGTAAGAAATAGACTAAACGATTGTTAATCTGTTACAGCACATAGGAATTTAGGTACTCTCATCATTGTATATCTTAATCATGTGACAAATTTTCATTCTATAGAGAATAGAGAGAGTAAAATTAAAAATTTATACTCAATTAACTATCAGAAAATGATAAAGGATAATCTTAAATTTAAATTTTGGTACTGTTTTTGGAATCAGTAGTCCTAACAGAAACATGGTTCTCAAGAAAACTGAAGATTATATTGTGTAACTAGAAGTTATCAGAGAATAATCTTACATCATTTCATGGGGGGAGTCGATACGATATAGTAAGAATTCAGACTAGCGGTCAGGTCCTAATCCCATTGAAACTTGAGTGGTCTACATAGTCTTTATCTTTGAACTGCCTATATTTAAAACGATTTCTAATCATGTTTATTTTTGTTTGGTATTTTATATGTTAGTTATTTTATTAGATAAAAATTCTACACTTCTGGTCAGCTCTCTTGTTTTCTAATATCAGTTGATTGGAAGCTTGCACCAATAATATAGTCTCGTGAACAGTTGTCACTCGGCTATACCATATTACTGGGTACCATTTATCAATCGGGATTCGGTTTATGCATCTCAACTATTACAAATCATATTCATTTTTTCAAATTTGTAATTGATAACACAATGGTGTAGTAGTTTTATTCAGTTTATTTTAAAAGGACAGTCACCATCTATGTAAAACAAATTATTTGAGGTTTGAAAAGTGATCTAAAGGTCTTTGATTCGATCACTGATCGTGTGTGTTTGCTGTTTAGGAGAGTCATACTAGGATAAAACACCTGTTCAGTGATCTATAGTTTCCAACGATTTCTTAATTGATACCAGTTTGTGACAAGTGGCAATTAAAATTTTTGCTAGCCCCTAGTAATCCTGCAATCATATATATATATATATATATATATATATATATATATATATATATATATATATATATATATATATATATACGTCCCTCGGATATCTGAATCAAATCTCAACCAATAAGACTCGTCTGTCAACATCTCATCTACCATTTATCCTTTAACTAACACGTGCCCATAGGTGTGTTATTTGAGAATATCGACCTAGCCTGTCAGATAGATCAGATATTTGTCAACCTGCTTATTGATTGCCAACTTATTTAAGTCCCATGCTTCTAAAAATTTCGTGACGTTCTTAGAGTTTTTCGACCATATAAATGAGTTTGACTGGAGAAACGATGAGATCTTAGAGAAGCATTGAAACATAGAAAACTTTAGAAATGTGAACCATTAGATACTGAATCATTGGTCTAAAAGTGAGAAATTCACAAAAAGGATGAAAGTCCTTGATTCTTCTATGAGTTGTGTGCACATTGTTTCAGCGTTTTGAAACTAGGTCAAAATCGCTATTCATTTCCCCGTACTTTTCCAGTGGTTGTTTAAAAATAGTCAGTTTGTAATGTAAGTTGTTTTCAATTTGAGCAATCAATACAAGTCTTCCATCATAACGCAATTGTTTACATATCACTGCTCACAGACTAGAATTTATAAAGCGAATTGGTGTTGGTGGTGGTTCGGCTGTTGTATTTTAATTAAATCATACGATGTAACATAAAAATGAATATTATTGAATTATAACTAATACATAACTGAATACTAGATAGATTTGTGACTAAATGTAATTTACTTCTGAGAAACGATTCTTTACTTGTAATAAGTTTAGTTGAATTAAAATTAAAATATTTTTCTCTTAAAAATGACCTCTCATTTATCTTCAAAACTGAACTTTGATTTGCAGTACACCCACTATTAATATTAAGCGACAGTCTTCGTCTATTACAGGGTTATATTCACTGTTTTCTTTTTAAATTCAATAAACATTATTTTTATCATCAATGTATCAAAATTTTTAATTAGATCTAGTACAAGAAGCTAGAAGTGTCCTTTTAGTCGGTGGTACAATGCAACCATTCAACGAAGCCATTGAACAAATATTTATACCATCTGGTAAATTATCCAATCAAATCGTCACGTTTACATGTGATCATGTGATTAATGCGAAAAAACAATTAGCTGTTTATCCTTTAGGTGTACATAGCCATCAATCAAATGGGGAAGTATTTTCATTAGATTTCACATACCAGGTTAGTGGAATAATTTGTGAAATCTTTTACTGTTTAGTGTTGGAAGTTTGAATAAGATATTGTATATACGATTCGTCTTCATTTACCATTAACAATTATCGTTATTCGTCATCAAATAATATGACCTTACGATATCGAGAATTGATTGAAGTTAGAATGTGTATATATGTGTGGGGATCGTCAGACTTGAGACTCAAACGATGAATTGAAATGCTGCATTTATTTCATGGAATTCTTTTGCACGTGGATCTCAGTAATTCATCTGTTGTTTTCAAATCTAAAACAGGATAATTGTTTGACTGATAGGTACATGATAGCTTTATGAAAATCTTTTTTTTCGAAGGCTACTGTTAGAATCTACTGACACTTGCTAACGTTTTTCTGAAGGTTGCCAACAAATATTACTTTTATTTTTACAGAAAAGTAAGAAAATCATGAGTAATACATGCTCCACTATGTACCTAGCTAGTTCTTTCTTTCACATATCTTTGACGTTCATATGACCGACTTGAACTCATTTAATGGTTCTTGTTACTTCTTCGCAATCCGTCAAGCACAGGTGTATACGCATAATTCCACTAAACCGTGGTTGAAGTCCGTACGTGTGTTCCAAAAGAAGTAGTATTCTCCAACGAATACACATCGTGATATGTGTTGTTTGTCTTCACCACTGGGTTGATATTGGATGCCATCAAGTCACAGAAAGTTTATTTGTATGACTAAAATTGAAGCTTGCCGAAATATGTAGTTGAAACATCACAGCTGATATAGAAAGTCATTGTCGTATCTTTGGTCGACTGAAAGACACTAGATATTATTTAAGTACCTTTCTTCTTGAATAGGTCTACTATTCTACGATTTATTGTCACTCTCGACAATAAGTACGTCCGACAACTTAATCTGTAGCAGATGACTAAAATTATTTCAATTGAACGAATCTTTCATCTAACCTAACCCGGATTTAGTGGACCAAGAAATTAATTAATTGGAAGTTATTTCTCATCTGTATTACCGTTAACAACCCTACTACTTATACTGAAAATAACAATTCAGCTTACTAATCATGGGTCTGCTTGTTTATCAAACTTCATGACTCGCCACTTAGTTTCTTAAATCTAGTGTTTGTAGTAAAAATAATATGTTTATGACAATAAATTATTGTCTCCTTATTTAACGCTAATCGTGGTAATACAGGTTGGTACTTTCTAGAATAGAAATCTTTACTGATCACCTGTGTATATGTGCGTGTGTACTTTTTGCAGATACGTTGAGACATATCAGAAAATTATCGTAGAAAAATCCTAACAACTCATTTATAAATTTATATCTCAGTATTGTATGTGTTTTGGCAACTATACATTACTTTTCACCATAATATTCTAATTTCCAATGAGTGTAATTATAAGTTTCTTTGATGTAGTGTCGCAATTTACCTTACTCATTCGTTTCTCTCTTTATTACTTGGGCTCTGTTTACTGTGTGGTATTTATTTCGATACTGATTTTATAAAATTAAAGTCTAACGAGTACGGTAAGCTTACTCAGTGATCTAAACCAAGGTCTTAAGTTAATCTTTCGGTAGGCAAGAGCACGGATGTTATGGAGTAATTCTTTACATAGCTTAAATAGTTCATATCCTATCCTGTACATGTCATCTAGTTATGGCTTATATGATGTACGATTCAATCTGAATTAGAAATATGCAAAACAACATCAAAATAATGGAAAAGAAATATTTCATTATCTCACTGGGTCTCCAGCCTAATTAAACGAATGCTGAAACTCATTGTATGAATAATCAATCGACTCAAAGTAAGGAGAATAGATAATTAGACTTTAAAAATCATTTCAGTTAAGCTAGAGTTGGTGAAATAGTTAAACAATTAAGAAAAGAGTTTAACCTGTTTGAGTAAAAATTTCAAATTACTAAGACACTAGCAATTTTATTGCCTAATGGACTGTCCTGTGAAATCCTATTCAGAATTGTAAGGAAGTATCAATAATAGTAATAATTGGAAAACAACTGATCGAAAATTCAAAGCTACTGCGATTCACAAAGATTTTGCATAGAAAATGTGCAACAAAACATTAAATGTAAAGAATGATGTTTGAATTTGTCAACCTATTCAGAGCGAAAGATTAGTTAAGTGAGGTCAGGATTATCTGTGAATTAGGAAGTAGCCGATCAGGTTCTCACAAAGCAATAATGATATAAGTATACTAACTGAATATCCAGGACAAGTAGAGCATAATATAGTACGTAGTTTGAAAGGATGCTCAAATATTTCAATGTATGTATACCGTGTAAATACATATAATTGGACGATAACACAACCTTTAAGACAACTATGTAGGAAATTAAAAGAACAGATTGGTAATTGTGTTAGCGTGAAATACATACTTTAGACATGCTGTGGTCTGTGAGCTGGATGGTTTGGCTAGAAATGTTTGATCGTTTTTCTGAACAACAGTCGGATGTACTTCTCTTTTTAACTATGATTGGTTGAATTATTATTTATTAAAATTTTCACATTATCGTCTCTGTTGAAATAAAGCCTTTTATTAAGTTCGTAATATCACAAGTCATAAGCTGTTAATAGTTACTGTTTTTGAGAAATTATATTTATGGCATCTTGAAACGGTAAAATTACATTGGTTCATACGAAATAGAACATTTATTTCATCTGTCAGAATGTGTTAGCAAAAAGCGGTTATGACATTGTTTAATACATTTGACTAGCTTTCAGCCAATAAGTCTATGGTCCGATCTCTGTTTCGGTTTCGGCAAGCGGGTACTATATAAACTGATAGCTACTTACATTATGAGTGGTTCAACTTTCAGTACATGAGTCTTTGTAGTTAATGGTTCGGCAAGTTATATTAAGCATGGTTTTCCTGTTGAACAAAAATTTACAGACGAGTTCAATCAGATTTAAGTTTGTACACCTTAGATTTTTGCGCGAAATTTATTCATCCGCGTGGTTCTGGAGCTAATATCAGTACCTAACTACCTAACCTTGGCTGCGAATTCTTAACCATATTTTAAATATAATAGATGGTTGAAATTTCGAAGGCCACTTTTAAAATCCCTTTTTGTCGTCTGTAAATTTTAATTCTGCCAACTTTTCTTTACAAATTTCGTTAACTCGCATCATTTCAAGGAGGGAGTTTAATGGCAATGAAAAATCTCGGCGATTCAAAGAAATCAATCGTTTCATTTGTGTGGTTTAATCAGTTGAAATTTGAACAAACAAACACGTTTTGTTTTTGTTGAGATCGTGAATCGATCAATGTTAAACCACCAGTGAAAAGCTAGAGGCGCTGGACGACCCGTTCGCCCTAGTACGAGACTCCTCATCAGTGTGCATCCACGATCCCATACCCGGGATTCGAACCCAGGAATCTAATACTAGGATTAAACGGCCGTCCAGTGCTTTCAAGCTTTCAATGGTGGTCTAACATTGATCCATTCATTATCTCAATTAAAAAAACTCAACAATCTCCACAACCCTATACTGAAAACAAACACGCTATTATTGACAATCACTTTAAAAATAAGTTTTTTCATATGGTATATTGAAGTTGTACTTGATCTAGAAAAAGAAGCGTAAGATAAATCCAATTTCCAACTACGTAGGTTAACTTATCAGACAATGAATGATATTCATATTAAAGTAACTGAGTACTGATTGTCGATAGTTTATGTTCTCAATTCTCAAAGAAACGGGGTCACATGCTCATTTATACATTTACATCTTCTGATCCATTGAAATACGTTTTGTCGTCATTATCACATATTTCGATTACAGTTTATGTTCATACTCCACACACTCAGGGCGTTGTTCTGTTGCTGTCCAAAGAAACACAGAATGATTTTATAGGATGGAAATCTCATGGATCCAGGATCATCAAAGCATCCTTCAAAACAAAGAAAGAGGGAATTACAATGAATGTTACCCAATGTCGTGCACCTATCAATGTTAGCAATGGCGTCGATAAAGATCAGTTCTACGACAGGCTGCAACCGATCATAACGAAGTGCCCAGGAAAGTACCTGACTATCCTGATGAGAGATCTAAATGCCAAAGTCGGAATGGACAACAACGGTTATGAAGATATTATGGTACGAGTTGAACTAGGAGAAAGGATCGAGAGTGGCGAGAGATTTGCAAGTCTATGTGCATCCAACAAATTGATTATACCTTCTTGTTTACACCTGTTACCCCTTAGGGAGGAGCATAGGTCGCTCACCAGCATTCTCCATCCAACTCCATATTAGAAATCCTTTCCGGTTGCTATTCAGCTTTTTCATGTCTGCTCCCAATTCTCGGTGCAGTGTGTTCTTTGACCTTCCTCTTTTTCGTTTCCCTTCAGGATTCCAAGTCAGCTCTTGTTTCATGATGCAGTTTGATGATTTCTTCAATTTGTGTCCAATCCACTTCCAGCGTCTTTTCATAATCTTTTCTTCAGTTGGAATTTGGATTGTTCTCTCCCACAGTAGCCTGTTGCTGATGGTATTTAGCCAAAAGATATTGCGTATCTTGAGTAGACAACTGTTTATAAATACCTGATCTGTTTTGATGTCGGTTGTGGTAGTTTACTAAGTCTTAGCTCCACACAGTAGAACTATCCTGACGTTCGTATTGAAGGTTTTGACTTTGATATCGGTTGACAGTTGTTTCAAGTTCCATATATTCTTCAACTGTAGGAATTCTGTTCTTGCTTTGCCAATCCTCGTCTTTACGTCTGTATCAGATCCTTCACGTTCATCGATATTGTTAACCTGATACGTGCCTGTCTCCACCTCTTCTAAAGTTTCTCCATCAAGTTTGATTTGGTTGGTGTTCTGTGTGTTAAATTTGAGGATCTTGCTTTTTCCCTTGTTTATATTTTATCTTCCTTTTGATTATAATAAACTCTATTATTAATTTATTTTGTTTGATGCATTTTTCTGTTACCTTCATATCACTACTTTGTTGTTGTGTAAGTTATGAAAACATT